AAGGGGGGAGAAGAGTTGAAACGGTGGGAGAAAGGCTATTCGGGGAGAGAAGTGGGGTGGGGGATGACAAAGGGGATAGTGTGACCAGTGGGAGAGAGAAAATGGGGGACGGGGAGAGAGAGAGAGAGAGAGAGAGAGGTATGGCCCAATTCGCTCCCTGTCTGTAAGCATGCTTTTCTTTTTTTCCCTTAAAACCTCAGGGCTCCTTCTATTCTGGGGGGCGTGAGTCCGGTTGCTTAGCACCGGCAAGCATGTTTTACACAAGGGCAGTGGAGAGTAAAGATTAGAAAAGGGGGCCAACCTAGCCCTTGCGGCACTAGACACCTAAACAAGGGGGGACTGCTACAAAGTGCCCATCCCCCAACCTTGTTCCCTCCTCGGGGGTGTTCTACTGGTCGCGAGGCTTAACCTCATAGGCCGAAGGCGGCGTCATACGTCTATGGGGAGCAACTCGTATTCTGCCGAAACCTGGTAGTCAAATCTTCAGTGCTTTGCAGGCGCTCGCAAGAGATCTTGCGCCTCCCCGCCTGTCCCATTCCCCTACGAACATCAGTTGTCTCTGCATAATGCTGATTGGTGGGGGCAACGGGCTATCTCCCATTGGCAGACACCAAGTGTGCCTAGGAACGTACAGGAGGTGAGCAGGGATTGAACCCATGACCTCCTGAATGCCACTTGTGGGCCTTACCAACTGAGCTAGGCCAGTGACATGTGAAAATTTGCTTGTGGATTTCAATGTCATTTTGTGTGCACTTTATGAAATCATAGTTGTTTTCCCTATGCAATGTATGCATTCAATTTGTATGAAACTTATAATGAAAGCCAAAAAGAGGAAAGAGAAGAAAAGAAAAAAGAAGTACAATTAGTAGTGGATCATTCATTTGGCGTGCTTATGCTCAGAGAACTCATCACTTGGTGCATGGCTCTGTCTGTTGGCACAAGAAGTGACTGATTGTACAGCAGTTCACATCATCAGTGTGATCACGAGCAGCACCGCTTTCTTGCAGCTCGAGGAAGGGGCTCTGTAAGAAGTGCGTACATGGCCATTGAAAGAAGAACAGCAGAAGCTCGTTCTGGAGAAAAGGAAGGAGAGGAGGAAGACAATGATCGCTGCGGTATCTATCTTGTCACTACGCTTGTGGATGGTGAGTGCTTCCGTACTTCTCCTCTTTGCTGGCATCTCGGTGGACGTGTGCTGCAAGTCACCCGATAGCAGGCACCACTGTGCCGTGGGAAGACGCAGCGAGCGTCGGCATCTATCTCGTCACTCTTGTGGATGACGAGTGCCTTCGTGCTTCTCCTCGTCGGTGGCACCTCGGTGGACATGAACTGCAAGTCACCAGACAGTGGACACCACTTTGCCCTGCGAAGACACAGTGAGCGCCAGCGTCTATCTCGTTTTGGAGAAGGGAAAAAAACGAAGAGGAGGAAGACAATGATCGCTCCAGCATCTATCTCGTCACTACTGTTGTGGATGAAGAGTGCTCTCGTACTTCTCCTCTTCGCTGGCACCTCGGCGGGCGTGAACTGCAAGTCAGCAGATTGCAGGCACCACTTTGCCCTGGGAAGATCCAGCGAGCGCCGGAAACTAAATGGCATTGCAGAGTTGGGTGTCCTGAGCATTACTGATCAAAACCTTCTCAAAGATCTTGGGGATGTGCTGGTCTCTAGAACCGACAGAGCTTCTGACACCGCGTATCGTATCCACGCGGTTGATCTCTCTCCGGATGAGAAAACTGTCTACTACGCAGAGAAAGTTGAGACGAAGACGAATACAACGAATAGCGAAACGACGGCGGTGTGGAAGGCAGGATGGGTTGATGCTCTTCAATCTTACAATATCTCCCATTTTGCTGGACCTTGGCCAGTAAGAGATCAAGATGTTGGTAGGGGTCCAAACTCCTCAGATGTATCGGGGCTTTTGATGCTCGATGGTTCCAATTTACTGGTTTCGCAGAAGCACAACGGCCGTCTCCAGAAGGTGGACGTAGCGACAGGGAGAGAGGGAGACTCGTGGGCCCTGTTGCAGCCCTTGGGACTGGCAAAGCACCCAGCCCAGGAGGCGTTCTTTGTGTCATCCGGTGACCGCGTCAACAAAATCTCCTTGACCGTACCGTCATCCTGGGGTGCCATAAATGTTGTCGCGGGTCCGGAAACCAACAAATCGGAGCGAGAGTACGTTGACAGCGAGGTTTCGGCAGAGGTTCGATTCCGTGACCCATTGATTGGACCTCAATCCCTTTCTCGTGATGGGCGCAGATTGTATGTTCTCGACTATTGGAACAATGTCGTGCGGCGTGTGAACATTCCCTCCGGGGCTACGAAAACAATCGCCGGAAGTAGGGATACCATGTTTGGCCTTGAAGGGGGGTTCAACAGAGCAAGTATGTGTATCGTGACGAGGAATGACTGCAATTTGTTTGTCTCTGGCCGTGGAAGGCTCCATTGGCTGCCTCTGGAAGATCCGGACGGCAATGTAACAAGCATCAAGATAGTCGCGGAGCTGGTGCTGTCTGATGGTTCCCGTGGAAGCATCATGGCTATGGCCCTTACCAGAGATGATCGTTACCTGTTTGCCGGGACAGGGGATGGCCGGATTATGAAACTGGCGATAAATGCCTCTGCCTTGCACCAGTGTGGCTCCCCTGTTGGTTCTGCAAAGAACCTATTAACCCGTAAAACTATGCCGCGAGTCGTGACGATTGTGGGTGTGTCCCTGGCATGCATCATCATCATCTTGTGCGCTGCTGCATGCGCAACGTATGTCGTGCGGGGGTTCAGACACGGCTTGCACGGTGCACCCGCAGAGGGGACCACCAACACGACAAGATCAACGGCAACCGTTGGTATCTCGGGTGTGAGCGGTCCATCAAGCGCTGCCGATCCACTTCTCCCTTCGGTTATCCGCGAGATTCCACTCTCTACTCTGCAGGCGGCAATTAAAAATGGCACTCGCTTGGATGGAAAGAGCGGCAGTTATGGTGATGTATTCAAAGCCTCCTTGATGGTGGGACCAGAAATGATGGACGTGGCCATTAAGGTCATGAAAGGGGAGTTCAGCAAGGAGAAGCACAAGCAATTCAAGGCGGAAGTGTTCACACTCAGCAATGTTCGGCACCGGCATCTGTGCAAACTGCTCGGCTTCTGCACTGAGGGGAATGCCTTCATCCTCGTGTACCCATTCATCTCAGGGGGGTCACTGTACGATCGACTTCACCCCGAGTTCCAAAACACAACTGTTACAGCAGACTCTGAGGTGTTTCATCAAAAAGAGGGGCCCGGCTTGGACAAAGGTAGCAGTAGCGGTAGTAGCGGCAGTAGCGGTAGTAAGATGCTTCTGCCACCGTTGACGTGGACAGAGAGGATGTCGATCTCGAAACAGATAGCGACCTGCTTACGCTATCTTCATCGGGAAGTGGACATGCCCATCGTACACCGGGACGTAAAAAGCCGCAACGTACTCCTTGAAGGGCAGGGGAGTACACTGCACGCATACCTGAGCGACTTTGGGCTAGCAAGGCCAGGGAGCTGTGATCATCCCGACGGAACTCCGTCGTCGGGGCAAACGACAGTCCCTACGTTGACGAGGTCCGGCACTCCAGGTTACATGCCGCCGGAATATGCGTATGAGTCAAAACTGACAATGTCGAGCGATGTCTTTGCATTTGGGGTTGTGCTTCTGGAGCTCGTCACCGGAATGCGGGCAGTTATAAGGCTTAGCGAAGATGATTCTATTCCGCTCTACATGTTGGTCCGGAAGAGGTACGGCAAAGAGGTCCTGGTGGAAAACACATTGAGGGTTTCCATGACGTCTGAGGAGTGGGGAATGGCCGACACCGTTGTCCAACTCGCCCTACGTTGCACCAACAATTTCCCATCACAAAGACCTCATATGGGTCAGGTAGTGCAGGAGATTGAGGCAATCTTGCAGGCATATCACTCATCAGTGGGCCGAGAAGCGCCACCCGCGGGGCATGCTTTGCCGCATCCTCTCTGCGGGCCCTCTCCTGGGTGACCACCGGAACCGCTTTGACAGGAAGCAGTCATCCGTGGGTCTGCTCTTTGCCCTCAAGTTTGCGGATCGTGGCGGTAGATAAGCATCGCCACAAAGAGGAGGTTTATCCTCGTTGGTTAACGGTAAGGACGTCATCAGCTCTATAGGAGCTTATTAGGAAGTGACCGGCGAACTAAACCGATGATATGGAAAACTGTATACAATAACATGCCATAACATGTCAGCATGGGCTGCTGTTAAGTGCCGAGTCTCCGTGAGAAAGAGGCCAGGCTGATGTAGTTGAGTTGGAGAGCCAGATCATGATGATAGGTGATCATCTCGTACGGGTCGGAGAGGACTCCAGTAGTGCTGAGACTGAGACAAGGGTACGAGACAGCACCACATGGGGTGCTGCAATTCTACCCCATTTGAGAGAAGTGGCGCACAAGAAATCAATGGCACATGGCGGCAGATGGCAGTAGGTGGTGTTAGTGTGTACTGCTCGTCAGCAGACAAATGGAGGCTGCTTCTGCAGACCCTTGCAGTCATTGAGGTGGTGGCACTGAGTGTGTTGGCACTGTCGGCTCGGTTCAAGTGCTGCATACCAGGTCGCATCTGGGGCTGTGTGTTCGTTTCCACTATCTTTATGAGATTCTCTGTTTTGAATCTTTTGATCATACAACTCCGTAGCTGTGATCGGCTATCGAAATAGGAAATACAGGATAAGCTTGGGGATGAGGCCAGGAATGTTAAAAAACATTTAATTTAGCATGGGAAGGATGTGGCTGAACGAAGAGAGCAGAGAAAGAGAGGGAGAGGAGAGGAAGAGAGGAAGAGAGGAGAAAGACAGGAGAAAGAGAGGAGTAGAGAGGAGAGAAAGAGAGGAGAAGGGGGAGGAAAGAGGGAAGAATACAGCATAAAGTTGGGGTTAAGACCACAAATGTAAACATTTAACATTTAACATTAGCATAGTCAGGATATGGCTGAAGAAAGAGAGGGGGAGAAAGAGGGGAGAAAAAGAGGAGAGAAAGAGAGAAAGAGAGAAAGAGAGGAGAAGAGAGGAGAGAAAGGGGCAGGAACGAGGGAGAGTGAGTAGATTGAAGATGCTTTTTATTGCTTTTGGCATTGTTTGTTTTGAATTCCTCGTCGAATTGGAAACAGGAATATTTCTGGCCTTTGTCACTTTTTCATGTTAGACCCCCAATACGTCCGAGCCTCTTTTACCGAATCGGATGCTGATTTGTGATGCACACTAACAAAACCGGTGCAGGTATGAAATCATTTTTTGGGGGGGCTGGCACCGCCAGTCTTTTTGATTTGGTAGGCTGAGCCCCGAAAGACGTGGCCACAAAATAGTTGCGAAAAGTAGTGGTGGGTTTAAACCGTTCATCCTTGCATGAAGTTGCACCCAAGTAGTTGGCCGATTTAAGCGCACGCTCATGCTAATAGGACAACCTCACCTGAACTTGGCCCTCATGCTAGGAGGGAAGAGTCACATGAGCTCGGAGTTTGTATGGGTGTTGTATGCACGTTCAATGCATCTTCTATGCATGTTCTGTGCATCTTCCATGCATGTTCTGTGAATGTTCCATGCATGTTCTATGCATGTTGTAGATGATTGGATGGGAGGTGCGGCTGAGAAAATTGGACGCTAACTTTGGTCAACGCGCCATTAGGATGAACTTCGGTCAACGGGCCATTAGGATAAACTTTGGTCCCACGAATTTGTTCGAATTTGTTCTGATTTCAGTCTGTATAAGGG